CGATAAGAATCTCACATAACAATTGGTCTAAAGAAATCTATAGTCAGTGGTTGTCAACATTTTAAGCATAACAAAATGTGATCCAATTTCAATGAAAATGATTCATTTATGTAAAAGTATATACGACGTTTTGTGAAAAATCTGTACGTGATGGAGAAAAATGCATACCGTTTCCACATTTAACATACAGAAATTACTGTAGAACATGTAAAAATTTCAAGACAATAAATACATTGCAGGCCTGTGTAATTATACATCAAGCTTCCAGTCAAAGGAAGATAAGTAATAGTCATAGTTAATAACCAGTATTTCATTCTGTAAACATTTTAAATAATTTTGATGTTATATTAATCTATTTAACATTCTAAGATTATATGCTCAAGATCCATTATATTGTTGATATTCAGGAATATAACATGCACAGTTCCTTGACTACTGTTGTTTGTTTATAGACATTTCATATATTATACATGCTATTGCACTTACAAATTCTTCTGTGTTTAACAGTCAGTACTTCATTTGTATGTACTTTTGTTTACAGATATTGATTTTATGGATACTCTCATGGGCCGAGACATAATTAGCAGCACTTACCAAAGTAGCAACGAAGGGAACGATGAAGCTGCTATGGCAGTTATCATGAGTCTTCTAGAGGCTGATGCTGGATTAGGTGGTCCAGTAGACTTCAGTGGTCTTCCTTGGCCTCTTCCTTGATTTCCAGTAATTTGGCTATTAGAACATAATCCCATGTGGTAGCACTGATAACCACCTCACCAGTAAAATGCATCTACAACTGAACCATTTATTTTGTCACTAAATGAAGGAATACAAGTAGTTCATTCTCTTGTAAAAATTCAATATCATTATAACTGGTTTACTGGATGAATGACCAATTCCATCTACTTTATCCAAGAGTTATGATAGTGATAGTGAGTTTTTGATATTCAGATCCATTTATGAAACCTACAGTGTTAGAATAGTGATGATTTTGATCATTATAATGATCGAGCCTTTTAAGAAAGATCGGTTTCTTTCTTGGAGTACATTCTAATGACAAATAATTATAATATTTTTGTTACGATCTGTGTAGCCCACCACAAAGATAGATTATTAAACCTACTAACAGTAGCCCAGTTAATTATATGAAGTTTTTAGTGGAGACAAAACTGTTTAGATTGGTGTTTCTCAACCAATGGTTCATGATATTTCATGAAAAGAAAATTTACAGAATATTCTTATGTAAGTCATAATTTTTTTTTTTTGTTGTACTTGCAGTACAACCAGTCTGCAACAGTTTAAAAAGGCAGCAAGTCAGTCAGTGACATCAAAAAGGTTGAGAAATGGCTAAGATGATATGTTAATACATAAGCTTTGCGACTAATGACCATTTGGTTAAGTACAAATTGATAATGAGCTTTAAGCACTATTAAAGGGTTTTATGGCATACAACAAGTGTTTCTACTACCGACAGTGACAGATTACCATCAAATTTACTATTAGCTTTTGAAACTAAAGCAAAATGTGTCAGTATGCATGTTCATTAAACAGCTTTAAAGTACCATGCATCTTCACTGAAAGTACTTGAACTGTCATCGACTTTAGTGTCCAAAATATTTATAAATAAGCATGTGGTTAGATGACGTAGTTGAGCTTATCTCTTTTTGAAGCAGCTGTGAAAAGTTTGTACATCATATAACACTTGTATTGTCTGATCATAAAACACTGTGTTCAGTTTTTTATGTGTAATTAATCTGTAATGATGTTTATATCTGTGAGTACTACCTATCATTTATTATAGTTTCATTAATGATACTGATATTTAGAATAGGCATTATCCATCACGAAGTATATATATAATGTTTACAACATATGATCAAGTATGTATATTACAGCCCATAAAACATCCAAATATTATTTTTCTACATGTTGGGTGTGAGTTGGAAAGCTATGTTTGAATCCATGTGATATCACAAAATTCCTTACATTTTCAAGCTGTGGGTGAATTTATAAGAGTGACAGTGATAGGGTGCTGCTGACTGTCATGCTTTCCCCCTGGTCACATAGTTTGGAAACTGCTTGTTCAGTGCATTCAAAAACATTTATTAAATTAATCAAGTATTGTCGATATTTATTGTTTAAAATGCTTTAAAAATAAATTAAAAATACAGTTTCTTAAAAATCACAATACAGTGTATAAAATTAGCACAGTTTTCTTTGGATTGCTTTTGTGCATTACACTATACAGTTTCATTGTTCTGTAAAACAAATGCAATGAACTGTTGACATCTTCCATGATAACACAATTACCAGTTACTGAAATGTTGGTAAAATATAACAAGTGTCACCTGAAAAATCGAAGAAATATTGGACCATCAAATAACTGTCGACCATTCATACTCGCAATGTTTAAACCATTAGATGACACACAACTTTCAGAACTACAAGAACTGCCAAACATCAACACTACTTTAAACAGAGAGAGAGGGTTCACCCAATTTTAACATCATTGTTTACACAATAACCAGCAATATAAGCAATCATAGATCAACTACTTATGGCAGAACTACTGCTAAATTAAGTATCAACATCAGTACTTACTTCAAAGAACTGCTAACTATTAGCACAAATATACATCTTCAGATAAATAAACTACAAACAGTAGTGCTTCCATTGTTAAAGAACCTGTAGTAACCAGCTTCATAAAAAAATATAATTTAAACTGAAAATTATCAGACATAAACAGTGCTAAAAAAACACCATGAATCATATCTCTTTCAGATTGAGAAGTGGTTTAAAATAAAAACTTTTTTTTTAACATATAAATATTTGGCTTTATTATTTACCAGATCTACTTTTCTTCTTACTTTATTCCAACATTATGTACTTGAAATTGCTTTTCTAATTTTGACAGCTAGTCCACACCTTAAATACGGTTTATTTTGAAGGATGCGAAAATGTTTAATAATTTCATCAGGTAGCTTGCAATGAGGTTATGCAACAGAAAGACAGAAATGATAGGATATCTAAAAACATTGCTTGCAACATCATCACTTACAAATTAGAAAAAGAATTTCAAGACATAATTTTTAAAACTTTATTTCGAGAATTTCAAATCCTAAGTTGTCATCAATGAAAATGAATCAGTATGACATAAGTTGTGAGAAAATTAACTACAGCGCAACTTCTCAATATCAAGGAGTTCAAAAAATTGAATTTTTTTTTTTTTACTTTTACAAATTTTCCATTGCAAAAAACACCAGTGTTTTATGAATGTAACAGATGCTGAAAATGATCATGGGTATTTGCATTAAGTTAAATGTTTACCACTAAAAATAAACATAATTAATAATGTGATAAAGAAACAAATACTAATAGTCACACATAATAAGTGTTAAATTTCTGACATTGTGTGCAGTGGTGTAAATTTAGTGAAACTAGGTTCCTTTGATCATAATATATGAATACACTTGTTAGGTAAGATATTGTAGATACTGTACCTGTTAAGGAAAATTAAATTCTTTGTATTTTACATCACAAACTTTTTTCACGTGTTATCAACTTTTGTATACTTTACAGATGATGCTATAAAAATAATTAATACAACCTCTTTACAAATCCTCGGCTACCTTCAAAAAGATTAAAAATTCTTAGGAAATGGAAAAATATTTCCTATTATTTTTGTAACACTTGTATGTGTGTCTCGTAAAGATGTCTATTTGCAGTATTGAATCTGCATCTTAAAATATTCGTTGTTTCTGGTCTCATATTTACTAAGACAGAAGAAACAATTAAGGATTACCACACAGTTTCTCAGTAATGACGAGCTCTTCAATAGATTTAGGCTTAGGTAAACTATAGATAAAGTAAAAAAATATTTTTATTCACATACTGTGGTAATAAAAGAAACAAAAACATGTTCAGTATACTTTCTAACATCATTACAATTATTTTTAGTTTAGATTCTATTTCATAACTGAAAAAGTGTTAAGAGGAGGCTAACATACATCAAATGAAGCTAAAGTGTTAAAAAAAAAAGGCCTGGCATGGCTAAGTGATTAAGGAGCTTGACTCACAATCTAAGGGTCACGGGTTCGATTCCCTGTCCCACCAAACATTCTCGCCCCTTTTAGCCATGGGGGCATTATAATGTGATGGTCAATCCCACTATTCATTGGTAAAAGAGTAGCCCAAGAGTTGGCTGTGGGTGGTGATGACTAACTGCCTTCCCTCTAGTCTTTCACTGCTAAATTAAGGACAGCTAGCACAGATGGCCCTCATGTAGCTTTGCGTGAAATTCAAAATAAACCAAACAAACAAAATATTTTATTATTTAGTTTCATTTGTAACATACAATTTCCATCATTTTTCAAGAAACTGAATACCATACGTTTTTATGCTGTCTACATTACCCCATTCTTCACATTAAATATCTTACAAAGAGTTACGAGTTGGAGTAGTTTAATACTTGTCCCCTCCCCCCCACTAAAGGCATTTTTCTTTAAGTTAGTACTTTGCAGATAAAACCTGTTTGTAAATTCTAAAGCAACCTTGAAGTAAATAGCTTACTGTCAGTTGCCCTAATTAATGAAGAAGCTGTTCAGATAGGTCCAAGGTTAATCACATGATGTCATTTGTGGCCATACTAGCAGTTCTAACAAACTGAGAGGGTTTTTACCCCAAGATGTTTTTATACACATGTAAATATACATAAACATTTTATCAAGAAACAAAAAGAGAGACTGGACTCTCTCTCTCTCTCGTGCGTGAGATTAATGATATATTAGGATAAAAACTTTGTATTTATATCATAATGAACATACTGCTTCAAAAATGCAGATACTATGTTGTGTAGTATTGGAATGTATATCTGTGTTTAGGCTAAACATATTGTTTTCATTGCTATTAACTTATTTGTACTTCATTAAGAAATCTTATAGAATCAGCCAAACACGCTATTTGTGCTTTTGCTATATCCGGACTTGTAACATAAAAACCCAACCCCAATTTACTTACAAAAAACAAAAGATCTAAAATGTAATTAGGAATTGCATATGTTTCACATTACATTAAAATTAAGATATGAAATGGTGGTAATATATGAAAACAAGTTACATGTGACCAAATGTAAAATTTTTAAGGGTTAAATGTAACAAATTTATTTTGAATCAACTAATAAAACATGGCATATATTCCTAATGTTTTGATTCAGTAAATATATAAATGGCTTTGAGAAATTGGTTGAAATGAAGGCTGTGTGTGTGTGTACCGTCCAGGTTAAGTGCCATGATGGAGGTAAATAGTTAGTGCCAAGTCTTCGGTATTGATGATTATGCATTACCCCGTATGATCTCATTATTTTATGGTGATATGTACAAATAGAAGAGGTTAGGATTATTGTTTAAGTCCTCTGTTGTAAAGTAATTTATTTTGTTGCACAGCAAGTGGAGATGATATTTATGTATAGACATAATAATTATACAAAAACTGCTCTTTCTGAACCATTTGTATCTGTTCTTGAAGCTTTTTCAGTTTCGTTCTTTACATAAAAACTCCACCTATTTTCATAAAACTAAATACATATTTATGCTGTCTACATTTTTAATCTCTTTACAGTAAATATCTTATGAGTAATCAGCAAGAATGATTTAAATCTGTTCTCCCACATGAAAATGATTTGCATGTGAGCTATACGTGTGCGTAGATAAACACCACAATTAATTATATTTTACAAAATGTGCAGTTGTAGTTTAAATATTCCAGAGCCGTACTGAATATCAAAATATAACCATTGGATAATTTATGGTTTTGGCAGAACTATTTTGCTTCTCATGCTATTAATTTTTATTGCAGTTTTAGCAATACATCCCAGCAAGTATGAAAGTGTTTCTTTTACACTGTTATATGATTCATCTGATAGAAAAAAAAAAGTTGAAACATCATACTTATTTTAAAAGATATAATAAAGCAGTCTTATCTTTAGTACTTGGCCTAAGAAAATGTTAGAGCAAAGACCTTAAGATTATTTATGGGAATAGCTTATTTTACTAAGTGCATTATCATCCAATGACTTTTGAATTATCTCTTCAGATTTTAGTGAGCAGGAGTTAACGTAAAATATGCTATTCTCATTAAGGATCTAAAATGATTCTTCAACAAAACAGAAAATGTAATAGATCTTTTTCTCAAGCTATAAGGCTTAGTCTTAGTTTCCTGGACAAAGTACAAAAGATAAAAGTTTATTATGCCTTGTCAAGATTCCGGTTACTATTATATTTAAAAACAAAACATCTTACTGTCAGATGTTGTAATAAAACATCTCAAGATATGTGACAAAAATAATGTAATTCAGAATTAACCTTTTCACCATTTATTGAGAGAAAAACAAAAGAAATGTTAAAATTAATCTTGTCTAAATGTTATTACTTTGATGTTGTAGAAAAACTATTATAATTAACAATTTTCATCAGATAACAGCTTGTAGATGGAAAATGTTTTTAGTACTCTACTCCGATATCACAAATTTAAGTAGGTGAAGTAACTATGACTTCAGTAATGAAAAGGTTACAGGTGATATTTATAAACTTTAATATAAAATTTGGGGTTTGTTCAAAAGGTTGATAAAACAAAATGCATACCAGCAAGCAGTAAGTCTCTGGTTTCAAGTTTTAATTATCTTGTTCAGTTCTCAGTATTCAAGCTGTCAAATTGTGATATTGCAATATGGTGTTTATTGAATTGTTTATATGTCTGTTATTTAAAGAAAATACTTCTAAATTTTATAGCTAAAATTTCATTAATGTGCATTAGTTATACCAGACGTATGTTCATTTTAATACGTCAGCACTCTACAAATAAAAACAACTGATCACCAACTAGATACATGTTTTTCTGGCTAAAACATTTATTGGTGATGTCAGTTTGGCTCAATATCATTGTCCAACTACTCTCTAAAGGCCAAACAACCCTAAATCATGCATATATTATTATCCTGGCACTAATGCATGCTTGATAGAATAATTATCACAAACTGCAAACAGTGTATTAGATGAACAGTTTATTCTGTAAGGTTTTTTTTTCTTGAACTCCATAGTCAAGGTTTATTAAAGTACATAGCCATTTCTATAAAACAAATAAAATGAAAACTATTATATTTCTGTAGATTATAGAATCACACACTTAGTTGTTTGATACTCTTTCAATCCGTAGTCAAGGAGATTCAGTTGAAGATTGTATGGAGGATCTTTTTTGTAAAAAGCATGATAAGTATGAGGAGCAAAAACCCATTTTATGAACAGAATGACAATAGATAATATGCTAAACTTCTTTAAAGGTAAATCAGCTACCAAGAAAGTCTGATGTGATAGGGAGAGTCATTCATTACCATAGTTATAGGATATATATATATCTATGAACATGATAATGATGAGCAATCAAAGTTTTGCCCCAGAAAAAGTTCAGCTACACTCAAAAAAAGACCATATATAAAAGTGCTACAATTACTGCCTACATAAAAGTCTAAGGCTGATAACAAGTGATATTAAAAAATGGTTAATGACTTCATTTTCCTTAAGTCATACCCAGTCTCAAAGAAAGGAGGAAAACAGTACCAAGAGTGACTAAAATTCTTTAAGACCTCGATGAAATGTGCTTTTGACTTGCTTTCTGAGCTTCAAAACATCAAAATTTTTAAGGAAGATTGCTTCTTTGTTGAGAATAATGCCCAAAGAAAATTGAAGATATTTTTGTGATCCAAATAAAATATGGAGAAAAAGGAGGCTAGGAAAGTGGCAAAAAAACCAATGAAAACAGACACACAAACAAGAAAATCAGGAAAGCAATGTACTTGTGAACTTCCCTTTTCCAGATTCGGAGATTGATAGTTTGGATCCTCCAATGGAAAGGGAGATGGTGGACACAGCAGCAGTATGTGTCTTGAGCTCATTCCCAATAGAAATCTAATCAACTAAAAACATTTACATGCATTGCATACATATGGTGACATTATCAACTTGAAATACATTAAAGAACAAAAAAAAATTAACACATCTTGGTCTGTTACTAACTCTAGGGGATGGTAAGAAATACAGATGAGCTCAGATTGAAAATCTTATGGCATCATTGTATTTCTTCTTCCATTTTGTTCTACATATTCCAACAAGTGAGAAAATATATGTATGAATTTTAGGTTCTTTTGGCCTTTAGGGGGCAGTATACTAGCTCAAATGATTTTTCATCATTAATAATCCTGGGTATAATGGTGATACTTATTTCATTGTGTATTTATCAATGTTGGAATAGACATGTGCACATGATTTAAGGTTTTACAGCCTTTAATGGCAGTATACACTGGTATTGAGCCAAAATGAAAGACTGACATTTTCAACCTGAAATACATATATTTAACTGATGATCAGATTCATTGGACAAAAAAAAAGCTTGCACAGTGCCCTGGCCTAATTTTAAACGAAATCATGTTTGTTTACTAAAGATTGAATGCCAAACTGTATTTGCAAAGTTATTAGTGTTGAAATATTAAGTATATTTACAAAATGCAGTGTTTTTATTAGAGTTGAAATATTGAGTTTATTTGAAGAATTCAATGTTTGTAGTAGATTTTAAATACAGCTATTATACTGTTAATTAAAAACAGGCTTTTCAAAGTTTTCACAGTTCTTGTTTATCAATATCAACAATAACCTAATTATTATTTATTTTAGCTTTTAGCGTATGATATACCGTAACACACTGAAATTATTTCTTAAAATGATACCTTAAACTTTTGTTTTTCTGTGAAGGGAGAAAATGAACTTATGAAAATGAAGACAATTTCTCCATGGACTTAAAAAACAGTTTGAACTTAAGGTGTCTGCACTGAAACAGAGGTTAATTAAACATATTTCTGACAACATAGCTTAAGTCTTATAAGTGAGCTAGTATATATGAAGCTGCCAAACATTTGTGTAGAAACCATTAACATGCAGGATATAATTATAAGGGGATCAAATATCTATTAATTTTGTATCACCATATTTTGCTAGTTCTGTGACATTTGAAACTTTTTATGTAGGTTTGTTTTGTTTGTTCATTACAATGTCATTCCTACCTCAAGAGCAATGAAGTTTCAGACATCAAAACAGTCTTGTCAGCTTGTTCTGGAAATGAATAAAGAATTTTATAGAATGTTGCCCACAATTTTCTCTGTGGTACTTCAGTGAGTGACAAATGTGATAACTTTCATCTGTTTCATAAAACATATATACATTTATTAAAATTGCTGCAACTATTGTATAGATTAAGATATCTTTTATGAACTGCTGGCATTGAGCTCTAAGTATACTGGATTAACTATATGTGATAAGTGAATTTGGCTTGGGCAATCAGCTAAAAGGGAAAAGTCTAGTTGATTCTTTGTGTTGAATTCCTGTCATGCATACAGATACACAACTGACCAAGAGAGGAAATAAAGCTGTTAGCTTACACAAGTAATTATAATGTGAATTAAGATTTTATTTGCATACAATTCTGAGTATCATTGATCCATAGGCTATTTTATTTATCACCTAGCACATTCATTAACGAATATTAGTGTAATTTTGAAGTCTTCCTTATTTCACCTAGGGTTTGTTTACCCTACATTAATAACAGTTCAATGGAAATAGGTATACACCTCATCATTAAAATGCTATATATACGAGGCTAGTTTCAGCTTCTTTTCAGGAGGATGATCCCAAAGTGAGTCAAAAGCTATAGCCTGCAAAGTATTAAAACCAACAGGTCTAATTAATGTTCGCTTACTAGTACACAAAGCATCATCAACTTTGTTTCAAATAAAATAATGTACAATAAATTAGTAAAAAAAACAGTATTTATGGTTTCAGATTTTCACCGATATAGAAAAAAAATTAAAAAATGAGGAAAGAAAATTGGTACACCCAAAAGTAAAGACACTGGTGTAGTGAATGTTTTCCCCAAGGTTTGTTTTAGGCTAGTAAGTGGATCAGGAAGTATGCTGAAGGAATATGCCACCCAACCATTTGCAAGTTTATCAAAACATTTAGTTAAGGTTTTAAAGAAAATGAGATCTCTTCAGTGTACGATGAAACATTCACCCCCAAAATAAAGGTAGGCCTACATGTTACATACAGTTGCACATTTCCAGGACATTAAATATTTATTACAAATCATTGTTTGTGAAAATAATTTTTTTTTTTTATACATTATAAGACCACGTGTGTAACTTTAAATTAAACAAAATTTAGTCTAGACTGGAAAATGTAAAAAAAAACTATCCATTTACTAAATTACTTTAGCAATATCATTCATCTATGCAAGCAGTAATCTGTAGGGTTAAGAAACAGAAGAATTTAGTTTATCCCATTTTTTTTTCTGTAGTAACATTAATTGGGGAATAGCAGGGAAGTAAGTTGTTGACGTCCAAGATGTGGAATGTGCAAAAAACTAGGAAACTGGCAAAGGCTAGGCCATCAAAAATGGAATAATAACCAACTAAAATAATTTATTGGAAATTTAAACCCTATAGAGCCAGAATATTAAAATGAATAGCATGAAACATTTTATAAAATACTTACAATCAAAAGGCCTTATAACAGATAACATGGAAAATAAAAAAATATTTTTTTTAGAGATTCCCAACTGAATTACTTACAAAAATGTTAAGGGACCAATTAGATGCTATAGTAACATCAAGAAACAGTTCACTGATTTATTTTATCTGCACAAGGCTTACATACATGTCGGAACACTTTATGACTTACCTCATCTCAGCAGAATAAGGTATTGCCATGATTTATGTCAAACCTGCTCTTGTATTGGATTGTACTTTCAACACTTTTAAAGATTATGTAGTGATAGTAGACAACAGTCCTCCAAAAGAAAACTGTTTGGGACATAGTGGGGTCTAAATACACTGGTTATATGGACTGTTCTGGAATAACTGTTGAAAACGGTAGCATTTTAAGCTATTCTTTAGTGATAAACACTTAGCTTCAAATATTCACTTGCTACTTTTTTTTTAAACAGTGAAATAAGAGAAAATGTGTGGTCAATGACATATGATTGTGCATTTCATAGCTTACACACTCTGAAAGAAGTCAGTTGCAAGGTAGATGGTACCCTAAACAGTAGTTTTAATCATCCACAAATTAGCAGTATTTTTGTCCATGGTTATATTAGCAAGAAATACTCTTTCTGGCCAAACAAAACCTTAATCACTCAAAGAAAATATTAAGTGGGTTTTCATTGAACAAATTGATGAAATACAGGAAGAGGAAGGGTTAAAATTTGCTAACAAATAGTCTGGTCCATGTGTCAGATGGAAACAAAAAAAAACATTCAATTAGCAGTACAAGCCCTTAGCTTCAGAGTTGAAAATGCAACATAATTCTTTCAGAAGAGTACACATTCATTTTTGAATGATGGCAAGGTTACAGCTGAATTCACATGAATGATTGATAGAATGACATTTCAAATTCCCAGAATCCTTTTGAAAAAGTTTTCAAAAAGCTTCTTTTGTTTACAACAAAATTACTAAAAATGTCAGATTATTCGAGGTGTGTTTGAATTTTGCAAAAAAACTTCTTGGGGGGTATCTATCCCTGATTTAGTAGTAATAGACTAAAAAAAAAAGACAGCTAGTTAACACCACCCCACAGACTCTTGGTCTACTCTTTTACCAACAAATAGTGGGATTGGCCATTACATTATAATGCTCAAATCGCTGAAAGGGCATGTATGTTTGGTGAAGGAGATTCAAAACTGCAAATTGCGAGTTGAGCATCCTAATCACCGGACCATACTATGCCAATTATTTGAGGACTATTACATTAGATGCTCAAAAAGTCATATTTGTCCCATGCCAAGATAGCACATAGGATCTGGGTCTGAACTCTGGCTTAATTAGCACAAGCAGGTGAAAATGGTAACACATTCCCCCCTAGACAGAAAGCCAGTCCCTTGCAGGCTAACCCCTAGCTAACAGCTGGTTAGACTGTGTAATATCTGCAATATTATTTTGTATTTTATTTATAATGTTTTCATTCCATACAAATTATGCAAAAAACCTTGATTGTGCTACTAATGTCACTCGTATATATATGTATTAGTTTTCTGCCGAGATAAGCAGTTAGTTTGAGAAATAAATGCTAGGAGCAGTATACAGTATGTAAAGGTCATTACTGAGAAAACATGATATTTGACAACAAGGATGGGATCAAACTTTCCAGCCAACTATGTCTACAATAACAAATTTGACTTCTCTTAAGCCTTTCGACTGCATGAACCAAAGCACTATTTCTCAACAGTGGAAATGCTGGAAAGAGCGGTTCACCTATTATTTGACTGCAACAAGCATAATGGACACGGGGCAAAAAAGGACTTTGCTTCTTTACATAATAAGACCTGCACAGCAGAACATGTTCTCGACATTCACAAACACAGGAGATACCTACCAGGCAGCCTTGGGCAAGTTTAACAATTATTTTGAGCCGCTGAAAAAAAAGGCTTTTGAAAGATAATAAATATTGATAAAATAACTGTACAATGTGTTGCTTATCCATTTGCACTTGGATCATTCTATCATTTCGTTAATGAATTTCAATGTGAGGATATGCATGAAACACAAACGATCTGTAAAACTGCTATGAACTTTAGAAAGTTAAGGATTGTAACCCGTGAAGAAAGGCATATATTATGGAAATGTCTCATCTTTAAACAGATTTTTTTTTTAGGCTTGAGTAGAGTTCTGACAGCCTTGTACTATATAAAGAGATGGCTTTTGCTTTTATTATTGTCTTGTTTGTAGCCACGATTAAGTATTTTTATCCTTGATACAAAATTATTATTGTATAAATAACTTATTTTGCATAAACTATTTTGACTGTTTACAAGGTATGATATTTTAAAAATTTGGTTTTATATTAAACTGAAGCTAGATAGATTTTTGCTATAACTACAGTTATGTTTGTATTATATTGTCAAAGAAATAAAACACTCTTTCAAACCAGCCTTACTTCTGGCATTTTTTTACTAGCTTTAATTAATAAAAGTCAAAGTGGAATGTTTTAAAGTATTTATTTACATGCAAATACAATACAAAATTAAATATAATACATACAATGCATAATACATTATTATATGGTACTATTATTTTTATCTTATCTAAGTTTATGAATTTTTTTTAAAAACAAAAACAAGAAATTTAGCACTCGTGTTTTGGCCTTGTTTTTTTGCTGTCACCCACCAATGAAACTTAAGCCTACTTTTTTGCAATGATTGCACTAGTACAAAAAAATATTTCAAATGTGCACTTAAGAACATAGAATAATAACCTGCAAAAAAGCACACAACGTCCTATAACTATTTTAATTAAATTGGTTTTCTAAGTAAAGTATAAGTGCCTTAAATCAATTCCCTTAACTAACTGATCTGACCTCCAATAGGAATTTTGAATCTGTAGACAAAATAACTGAAAAGCTGTCATAAGAAATCATCATTATAAATCGGTACATTAAAACTTAAGTTATAAATAATGTAAAAACAAACAAAATTATTGACAATTTGTAAAATTAAACAATATAATAGGAGGGAGTGGCAGGTGAATTTGATAAAGAAAGTAGATTGGATACTATAAAATTAGACTTTCCTAGTAATACCTACACTATAAATGTGCAATTGATGTTTAACTCAGGACATCGTATAGAGGTGGTTAGAAAGTAGAAAATGTACAACTTGGAAAGAACAAGTGGCATGTGCTAAAGACATGTGACATTTGAGAATTTATAGAAATTTTTTCTGCTGAAATTAAGAAATTAAAATAGTGAAGCTATCTAATTAAATTGTGAACAAAACTAACATGTTGTGATGTGCACTTTGACCCCCTACTAGCTAGTGCACTTAGGGTTAATGTTAGAATAATTTACTTCTATAATATTCATGTTATTTCACTTAGAAATAAGGTTGATAGATCTTCAACATTTTCATCATGATGACCAAACTTGTGCTAACATAACACAGTGAACTCATTTACAGGCATCATTAATACCTGTAATATAATTATTCAGTTATTTTAAATTTTAGCTGACAAATTGGGTTATCAAGAGCCATATAATCTTCTTTAAATGACACTATTGAAAGAAACGGGAAAATTTAACCAGATTACTAAGGATTCTGTAAAATAACTTTTCACCATTTTACTGCTAACATTCCATCAGAGATGAATTGTCATATTAGCAAAATTTGAATACTTTCAAAAGCTCTATGTTAGGCTTTACTCTAAAACACTTTTCAAGGACACACATTAACAGACATTTACAAAAAAGAAATAATTAATCCAAAGCTTACCTTCACATCCTTAAAAACACGAGAAGCATGATTCTAGATGAGCTCCGCTTTAGCTAATTCAAAACGGCGAAAAACAATTAAAAAAAGGAAATAATAAAACAATGTTTAGTGATGCATAAAATATCAATACATAGCAAAAACATATTACATAAGTAACACTGGAAAACAAAATTATTCTGTTGCTTTCCTTCTTATGATAACAGAACGTTTGCATCTATTTTTGTTTTATACATTATGAACTTGTAGAAAAATAAGCCAAGAATAAGAACAAAATTAAAGTACGGCATAATTAGTAAGCTAAGCACAATTATACCGGTTACACAACAATAAATTTAGCTTAGTAAAATAAGCTAAGCACAATTATACCGGTTACACAACAATAAATTTAGCTTAGTAAAACTGTATCCGGAAGATTCTTGTACATCATAATGCCAGTTTTTTTCTGTCAGAAAATGAAAAGTATTTATTGTACAATGAACTTAAACAGTTTTATTATCATTGTTATTATATCATGCATAGTGAGTACTGTCACACAATGCCAAGTTCAGTCCCACAGTAAGTCACATGTATGTTAGCTACTAAACTATATATATTTCAGTACTGTAAGCAGACATATACATGATTACACCGAACTTGTGAGTAATCATACCTGGCTCTGCCCTAGTGTGGAGCTTAACCTTTACTCTAGGTCTATGGTCACCAAATTAAAGAAACAAAACTAGTCCTTAGGCCAGCCTGACAGCCAGGAGGTCAGAACTAGTCCAATTCCTGAACTGCCCATAAAAAGTGGGACAGATTAGTGACCACTAACCATCTTGGTATATAGAAGGTAAGACATAAATACGAGAACTATAATATTTAATATCTAAAAATAAACCACAAACATTACTAACGTTATTTTTTTCCAATTGAAAACAACTTCAACAGCTACAAAATTTCAATATCCCAGAATTGTTTAAACTATAAATCCTAGTAAAGACATTTAACTTTACTTTGTAATGATATTGTATGAAAAATAATAAAATAAACTCGTTAAGAACTGGGCTCAGTCAATTTGACCAACCTTTTAATCATTATGTAGCCATGAAACTCTGAATGGAAATTTGGCAATCTTTAAAAAAAATATCAACAGCGACTGTAGCAAAATCAACGTACAGTGTAATGAAAAGATGAAACAAAATTAAAAATACTTATTTCCAGAATAACTGCACATTGAATAACATCATTTATCCTGACAGACTCAACTTTAACCTTTTCATATCTGCTTTCCTTTAGTTTTATTACTTTACATTGCATTTTAAACCCTGTCACTGTATTTGTAAAACAATACATCGCAAACTTCCCTAGAAAGTGACCACAATAATTCACTTCAATGTTACATAATCTATTCAGTTTATTTTATATATTTTTGTTACTTTTGTTAAAAAATGTAATAAAAATATGCAAAAACAAAATTAGCACTTGGGGGCATTTGCACTCAGATGCCATGCTTCTGTAACCCTACTTTTCCTATGTTAGTTGTCTAAGAAATAATTTGTGTAACTTTCAAATATACATTTTTGAACACAAAAAATATATTAGACACAAGAAGAAAATATCTTACAACTACTATAATATAATAAATAACACACAACGTTAAAATAGGTACACAATTTAATTAAGGTTAATATATGACCACTAAAAGTTGACTACACGTTTCGACATTGCAAAGTTAAAACATGTAGGGTCAACTTTTTAGTGGTCATATGTTGACCTTGATTAAAATGTTTTTATTTGTATATTTATTTTAACATTGTGTGTTATTCATTATTTCAACATTATACACGAGTGCCAAGAAATAATACGCAAAACTACTACAGTTTAGCTGCCTTTTTAAATAAGCTATAATTAAGTTCTGTTACTGCTCAGAACAACAACTTTACTCAACACATACAGCTTTTCTTGCAAACTGACAAGTCTGACTGCCAAAACTAAACACATGAATGTAAGAGGGTGATACATTGAATTTTCTTTTTTCTAATGGTTAAAGATATATCAATGTAAACACTCCAGGTGTATTAGAAACCATCCTAAAGCTACGGCAAGATAGGAGGAGCCTTTGAAGTAGCTTAAACAAATTTAGAAGAAGGGAGATTATTTGATATGCTGGCCTGCCATTAGCTATAATTTGTGTTTCTAATTAGTTAGACACTCTGAAAACCATAAAAAGGATAAAAGAAAAAACATATACATATAGGACAGTTCAGAGCTCAAGACGAATCATACAACATTGATGAGTGAATCTTGAAAAATTGTTCAAATATTTCATTTTGAAATTAAGGTATTAAAACTTATATAATATAAATATTTTAGTTATAAACTATGTTTTGATGTCAAGTTCAATGAAAACACTGAATAAAAAGTTGTTCAAGTAAATTTTGAATGTTATTATAAAAAGGTCATGACATGCACAGTCTGACTCAATCGTATGCATAAGGTTAATGGGCACACATTACCAGTCATAAACCTTTCTTAAATAAGGACATATTTACTTAGAACTATGTTTCTCATCACTTGCACATGGTTTTTGAATAATACTTCAAACTAAAGAATGATTTTGTCAGTAAAGATATGTTTATTGAAATTAAATGATAACCATTTCATTATATAGTTTCTTAATGAGTAAAATATTGTTATAAGCTGTATTTATAATGTTGTAATATGTATAATTTAAGTGTCAGGTAGATGAACATGTGGGTCGTAAATGATGATGCTGAGTACGCCAATATAAAAATTATAATATTTGACATAAAATTCTGTTCTAACATATTCAAACACAGATTACAAATACAATGTTTATTAAAGTGGCATTAGGTTAGTTGAAGAATGCATTGTTTCAAAAAGAGTGTAGAGTGGTTTCAAAATAGAGGATGAGCCAGTCAGTGTGTTAGCTATGGCAGTTACTTTGTACAAGTACGTTATGTTTTACATCAGTTAAGATCATTTGTAATAAAGACCTATGGCAGAGCAACAAGTATTTAAGTTTGTAGAAATATTAAAGGAGGAAATAAAAGTAATTTATTACCATTACATGGACTAAACATTTACTTTCACCAGACAGTTTAAAAGAACCCACCAGTGAAACATCATTAAAAAATACATGTACCTTAGGATGTAAAAGAACTCACCAGCAAAACATCATTAAAAAATACAGGTACCTTAGGATGTAAAAGAACTCACCAGAAAAACATCATTAAAAAATGACAGGTACCTTAGGATGTAAAAGAACTCACCAGAAAAACATTATTAAAAAATACAGGTACCTTAGAATGTAAAAGAACTCACCGATTTTCCCATTTATTGAAGTTGTCAACACATATTCTAGAGTCTTAAACTATATATATATAAAAATGGTTGTGTCCTAAGAATAGATACTAAGGAACTTTTACAAAAGAAGTAATTCAACAAAAGCTTACCTCTACATCCTCAGAAAGACAATTGGTATATTTCAAGATAAGTATCAGGTTAGCCAATTCTAAAATGAAAAAAGTTTAAAAAATAGCATATAATAACACAATGTTTAGTAATGCACAGAGTTAGTGTTGTGTAAGATCTATCAATATTTAACACAATAACATTATATAAATAACAATGACATTTACAACATTACCAAGTACAATCTGTGCCTCCAACGATGCATACGTATTCTTTTTTTTCGGGCAACTTTAAAATATTTTAGAAAATGATAAAATACAGGAAATGATAAATTAAACTTATTCCATTTATCTTCCAACAGTAGTTACCACATTCATTACTCTCCCATGTTATTAACTTCATCATCAGAACATCAATGATAATATAAATAGTTGAATTATAAACTATTTTTGTCAATTCCAAGTTTATTAAAAACTATGATAATAAAGTTGTTTAATTAACTTTTGAATGTAACTGTAAAAAAGAAAAGAAGGTGGAAAATTAGAATAACGTTAAAGTACTGGCCAACCCTCACAAGGCATTATTGAGTTTACGGGTGAAAATAAGCATTATCATCTGTATAAAAACATATAAAAAGTAAATTTAATTAGCTACACTAACTAATAGGTTAATTTTTTGGCTTACTCTGATTCAAAGTTTATATTAAACGTTAAATTATATTCTCGTGCATCACAGTGTTCTGTTCCTCAAAAAAATAAATAAATATATATTTGTGTAGGAATATATCAAATAATTACTGTATAATACACTTCTAGCTTGCACATTATTTTATTGTCACGCATAGTGAGTACTGTCATCTAGTGTCAAGCTCAGTTCCAATATATATATATAACATTACACACAAATAAACAACTTAAATAAATCCTTGTATATTAATCATCTGAATATCTGTTATAAAAAAAGTTTTCATGATTACACCTTTCTCTTATTGTATGTTAGGTTGTATAGTTCAGTACTGTAAGCAGACATATACATGATTACACCGAACTAGTGAGTAATCATACCTGGCTCTGCCCTAGTGTGGAGCTTCACCTTTACTCTAGGTCTATGGTTACCAAATTAAGGAGCCAAAACTAGTCCTTAGGCCAGCCTGACACCCAGGAGGTCAAAAGACTAATCTGATTCCTGAACTGCCCATACAAAAGTGGTGCAGGTTGGTGACCACTAACCATCTTGGTATATGGAAGGGAAAATCAGAATGTGACATCATAAGCTATATTTCATATCTAAAAATACACTACAAACTATACTAATGTTATTTCCTTGCAAACAAAAAAAAACTAACTACGACAAAATTTCAGAAGGACTATATCATCTTTCCCCATCTATAAAGTGCTTTTTGCATTGAACAATTGTTAGCAGGGTATGACAATCTTGTCAAAATGTTGTACATTTATAATAAAGTTTTCTTCCTTACCCAGTCAAGTTGTCTCCAAACTTGTATTTTCTCACCATTAAATTTAAATCTGATCAGTCTAGCATGAAGGTCTAACTGATGTGGCATCATGCTGTGGAATCAGATTTTCCAGTATGCATTATGAAAACCAAAGTTATCACCTTTCACTCAGCATCTTCTTGACAAATCCAACAAGATCTGGATAATCATAAATAGAGAAATAAGAGGACAATGTTACAGCAAAATGCACTCATCTGGTAGGCATTTATAAATTAAATACATACAAATAATTTGCTTCATTATCATAGACTCATCTAGTGAGGTAGATTACACACATTAGGCGTACCACTAACAAATTTTTTGTTTTTGTCATTTTCATCTGTTAATATTATAATACCACGGCAAGATACGGGTTATATAATATAAATTATAACTATTCAATGATATATATACAAGTTACAACTTACAAGCCAACAAGTGTTTTACAATTACACTTTACAGTAATTTTATTTCATTGCATTTATTTTCAAACGTTGTACAAATTCCAGTTAGCGTGAAAACTTTTTTCCCTGGCTTAACGTCCATCTTCGAAATGCCACCAGTCAACGATTAGTAAAGTAACAATTATAAATGGTAGTAGTACTACTAGTAGTAGGCCTAACGTTAGGATGATATTTTGGGCAACAGCTATAAATAATAAAGTATAAGGCCTAACATTTACTATTACTAATACTAGTATTACCATTATGGAAATTGGTCAAAAGCTTTACCTCTAATAGTAATAATATCACATCTCAGAATAGGATAAAAATAATTCAAATGGTCCAAAAATAACAATTTCAGTTTCACTCAAGCCTCAACTTGTTCTTTATTATTTATATCTGAAATGATATTAAAGATAAAATATTAAATTGAAAAAAATAAAAGTTGTTTGGGTGCTCTTACTCCTACTAATCCTAATTAATAATAATAATATAAATTAAATTATTAATATTAATTTAAAATTTGATACTAATACTGATTAAAGTTAAACTTTTTAAAGTAATTGGAAAAATACGCAAGTGTTCAATATAAATTGCTCTGCCAAAATTTAGCATTACCAAAACATTGTACTTACATGAACGACTCATACCACAACAGTTTATTTATTTCAAAATGGCAAAAATCAGCAACCATATAATACCAAATGACTACTTCTAACCTGTCGAAACAATAACCCTGTATAACTCCTCGTGTCTCGTTCAAACCAGATCCTCCCATGATACTTTGCGCCACAGCCGCCATTCGTTGGTATTTAAAATTTTATATCTCAGCGTGTATATATTTCCCTAGACTATGAAACTTTTTTACTGTATGAATATTTGAATTTTATAAAATGATTTAAAATGTCAAATATGAACAATATCCGTACATTTTAATAATTCAAAAAACACAGCAAAAACAACAGATGTTGATATAATCGAAAACTAAATTTGTATTCAAATCAAAGATTATTAAAACTAGCGGAAACACCGCCATACGGGCGTCTGTTTGTGCTAGTAATTACTAATAATAATGTACATATTTCATCGAAAAAAAATTAAAAGTGAACATTTTCTAACAAAAGATTTTTTCTGAGAAGTTGTGCACGGGAAAGTGTTCGGACTGTGCTCTTTAGTCATACGCAACTCATTGCATCAAAATGATTCAATGTACAGAACTCAAAATCTTCATAAATTTTACTGATATAAACTGTAATGTTTTTATATAATCAAAGTGGTACTGTTTATTGAAAAAATAGAATTCCAGTTTCTCAGTACTCCATTCAAAGATTAGATCAATAAAGTTATAATCAAATCCTCACGTACAGTTCTGGTGAAAGTCGTGTTCTTGTTGTGAGGAGAGTACTTTTATTT